AAATATTCAAAACTGTAATATTTATAGAGGGATAAAATTGATGAGTCATATAAAGAAATTATTGGAAAGGGTCGTTGAACGTCACCTAAGAGTTGAGACTATAGTGTCGGAAAATCAGTTTGGGTTTATGCCAAATAGATCAACTATGAAGGCTATATATTTATTGAGACACTCATAGAAAAGTATAGAGAGAAGAAAAAAAATCTTCATATGATATTTATAGATCTAGAAAATGTGTATTATAAAGTATCTAGAAATATAATATGGAGGGTACTTGAAAGAAAAGGAGTAGTGAATAGGTATATTGAGGTGATAAAAGATATGAGTGACAGGGCTATGACTACAATTAGGTCTTCTGTAGGAGAAAGTAAATAATTTTCAATCACGGTGGGATTATACTAAGTATCGGTCCTAAGTCCATACTTATTCGCCCTAATTATAGATGAACTCACTAAGCACATTTAAGATGATGTTCTATGGTGTATGCTATTTGCATATAATATTATATTAGTAGATAAAACTCAAAGGGAGATTAACAAAAAATTAAAAAATTGGAGAAAGACACTCGAGTCTAAAGAGTTTAAAACAAGTAGGAGTATGACTAAATATATGTAATAAAAACTTAGAAGATTGAAAATTAAGAAATACCAACTAGTAAACAATTTAAATACCTAGAATCGATCAATAAAAGTGATGGAAAGATTGGAGATGATGTAACTTATAGAATTAACACCGATTAGCTTCAATGGAGGAAAGCCTATGGCATTATGTGATAGAAATATACTAATAAAATTGAATGGTAAGTTTTGTTGAACAGCTATAAGGACAGCAATGTTGTATGAGACAAAATATTGGGCAATTAAGAAACAACATAGTGACACAATGAGTGTCGCGAAAATTAGAATGTTAAGGTGGATTTGTAGAAAAATTAGAAAAGATAGAATATGAAATAATTGTATTAGAGAAATGGTAGTAGTAGTTCCAATTGAGAATAAACTAAGAGAATAGATTAAGATGGTTTGGTCATATTCAACGGAGGCTGATAGAAGCACCGGTTCGAAAAAGTGAGAGAATTTCTTTTAATGGTACTAGTAAAGATAGACCTAAATTAACATTGAAGAAAATAATAAGAAAATATTTAACTTAAAGAAGCATATAGCACATGATCGAAATGAATGGTGAAAACGGACTCATATAGTCGACCCCAAATAATTGGGACATAGGTTTGGTTTGGTTTGGTTTAACAAACGTTACTTTTTTTGTTTAAAGTACTTGTGAAAAAAGTAGTAAGTACTAAGAGAACTTTTCATAAGTCATCCTAACTTGTTTGTCAGCAGTTTTTGAACATACATTCTTGTTAAATTCGTTGACTATGATATATGTCTTAGATGCACGGATAATAACTTTTGTTCTCTCTTTCCTGAAAGTTAGTATGAAATTGTTTTGGCAACAATTATCTAAAAGAGAAATATGTGGTGTATTTGATCGGTGTATTGAAAAATTTAGTACCCAGTTAGATTGCCTTGACTATGGTATAAGTTGGGATCAACTGCCTGATGTGGTTATAGATGTTAAGTATTCAAAAGCATATCTAATCAACATAAATATTGCGGTGAATGAGTTGGTTGGATTGCTTAGCCGAGTTAAATATCTGTCGGCTAATCAATATCTTCTATGGAAAGAGGTGTGCTCACAATCCTTGTTTCTGTATGATATAGTAAGATATTATGATTTTTTAAGGGTATGACATTTATGTTGAATCATTTGTTTTTGCATTCTACCAGCAAAATTATATGAAGATTGGTGGAAAGCAGGTATTATTTCAATCTCTCGTCTCTGTAAATTGTGTTCATTTTGCTTCCTGAATTTAATTACTTCTAGTGTTATTAATTTTCTTTGGACTATTCTAGAAAAGTTAGTTAATAGTCTTTTATTTGTTGTGGTTTTGGATGTTAAGCATTCAAAAGCATACCTCATCAACATACAAATATTGCAGTGAACGAGTTAGTTAGATTGCTTAGCCGAGTTAAATCTCTTTCTAATCAATATCTTCTATGGGAAGAGGTGTGCTCACAATCCTTGTCCGTGGATGATATAGTAAGATGTTGTGATTTTTTAAGAGTATCTGACATATATGTTGAATCTTTAGTTTTCAATTCTACCGGCAAAATTATACAAAGATTGGTGTAAATCAAGCATTATTTCAATATCTAATATATGTAATTTGTGTTCATTCTGTTTCCTGAATTTAATCACTTCTAATGTTATTAATTTTCTTTGAAATGGTCTAAAATTTTAGTTCATAATCTTTTATTTGATGTCCTATCAAGGTACCTAAAAATAGTGACAAATAAGGGTAGCATCAAACTCAATCTTCTTACTCTTCTTTTGTATCATTTATTGGTCTCCATTTATTAGTGTTGTTACCTTGCATATTTACTCCTCTTCTTGATGCAAATCTGTATTGTTTCCCACGAGGAGTGAATGGTTTTCGGAGCATTCTGCATTTGATTTTAGAATGATTATCTTTTTCAGGTATTGCTGCATTTCTTCATTTATCTATCTATTCCTAATTTAACTGGTGGGGGGTTTGTTCTTTAGGTGTAAATTTTGAAGTCCTTGCTGCACGTTACAGGGTAACTAAAGTTGCCAAGTCTCAAATTTGGGTTACTTCTATGTCTCTAAAACATAAACATGACTAATAAGTTAAATTAATTCAAGAATGACTGATCGAGAACTTTTCTCTCAGGTGACAGTGTGTCTTTCTACATGTCCTAATAGTTTGCATATGTATGTCTGTTCTCATGCCTGAAGTATCTGTTGAGTGGTCCTCAGCCTTTTGATATTTCAAAGTCCCATTACAGCTTCAGTTCAATGGACTCTGAGAGTTTAAGTGAGCTCCAACTTAAACAATACGTGCATAATCCTTTTATGAACTGAAGTATTATCTTATGTTCAAGTGAGCTCTAACTAAAACAAAATGTGCATAATCTTTTTATGAACTGATGCTCTAATTGAGGATTTTTGTTCTTCCTAAATTGTTTGAGACCTGCATGCATTATCTTATGTTAATCGGAACCTATTATTGCTTTTAAAACTAAATGTTGCTGCAGTTTCGTCCCGCTGGAACACCTGCTGTTCGAGCATAGCAGGCACGGCCATATATTCCAATGGTTTCTCAACAATTTCAGACGCTTGGGTGGGGCAAATGCTGGAATACCTATTCACATTTAACAACTCCAATTTTTTCAACTGGTGCTGCAGCAACCTCCATGGCCCAGTCAAGCAGGACATGTTCTGCCACTGCCACAGGCGCCACATTGAATTCCAGTGACAGAATTTCAGGCAAACAGGCCTGTTATGCCTGTTCCATGAGAACCTCATCAAAATGCTCAGATTCGAAATTACTATCCACAACACCTCAGCAAAATGCTTAAATTCCAAATACCTATCCACAACCTCCACAAAATTCTCAGTTTCCAAATAACTATATGCCTGGTTTAGACAGCCTAAGAATGGCTCTCTCTTCATCATGTAATGTAATATTTTTAAGCACGTGGTTGGTTGACTGCTTTAACCATCTGACAATGTCTTCAGCCCTTAACTTGACTAAATTCATCTGTTCAATTATCCTTGTCATCCAGTGGCCAACTACAACTGAATACATATACCACAACTCAGTACCAGCCTATATCTCAGACAAAAGTGCTCATTCCTGCTGGATTGCAGCCTTGGGTGTCAACCGAGATCCAGAGCATCAACTCTGTTACATATGTACAGGAAACTGGTCAACAAAGCTCAATTACCCCTGCCAGCATTCCAGTAAGAGTTGTCTGAATATAATCCTTTGCATCTTTTTCCATATTATGGAAGGTTTTCTTTGCTCCTTCGCAATTTCATTGGGATTTGGTTTTTGGATGTTAAGCATTCAAAAGCTTACTCCATCAACATACAGTTGTTGCAGTGAACGAGTTAGTTGGATTGTTTAGCAAAGATTGAAAGAGGTGTGCTCACAATCCTTGATCCTGTATGATAAAGTAAGATATTATGATTTTTTTAAGAGTATATGACATTTATTTTTAATCATTAGTTTTTCATTCTACCAACAAAATTATATGAAGATTGGTGTAAATTAGGTATTATTTCAATAACTAATATCTGTAATTTATGTTCATTCTATTTCTTGAATTTAACCACTTCTAGTGTTATTAATTTTCTTTGAACTGGTCTAAAAATTGTAGTTCATTATCTTTTATATGATGTCCTATCGAGGTACTTAAACGCTAGATGTGGTTTTGGATGTTAAGCATTCAAAAGCTTACCCCATCAAGTTACAATTGTTGCGGTGAACGAGTTGATTGGATTGCTTTGTTGAGTTAAATCTCTGCCTGTTAATTATTATTTTCAATGGAAATAAGTGTGCTCACGACCCTTGTTCTTCTATGATATAGTAAGATATTATCAATTAGAGTACTAACTCTCCAATTGAAATAGAACATGACATATCTTGATTACTTTAATAGGGGGTCCTTTCTTAATTCACCCATAGGGAGAAGGATGAAGTTTAGTAGGTAATTGCAAATGACCCACAATTGTCTTGGATACAATATTTTCACAACTGTCAGGCTCACCGCATCTATAGCACTTGTTCATGGTTGGCTTGTCATAAGGATTTTTGTTGTTTGTTTATTGGATTGAATTCGAATCGAATAACAATACAAATCTAGTTCATTGACAAACTGACCTGAAGGGAGAGAGGATATGTATCAATGTGCCACTATACAGTTGGATCGTGCTAAGTGAAAAGCCTGTTGCCCGTGAGATAGATCTTTAGTGGGCCGAAAAATGTTATTTTCTTTTTGAAGTAGGCCCAAACAATGTTTTTCCTAGAGAAAAGCCTGCTGCCCGTGATGATTTTTTTTTAGTGTATACAGCACATCAAATGATAATGTACATCAACAATAAGATATGAGCAACAATAGCTCTTCGGTTTAAATTTATCCTCATGTTATTGCCATTCGGAGCACTTCATAGCAAAATTTTCATACTCATAGTCCATGTCATGGCAGCAGCAATAAGAGATGAATCACATAAACTATAAATTCTTCTTTCACTCGGTCTATTCGAGAAAGCTGAGCAATTGATTATGAGAGAAATACTATAACAATTGACACTAATTCTTCAGGAATCCACAGTAGAATTTTGCTGGTTGAAATCCTGGTTGTTCAAATACAAATAACTTATCTGATCATTGAAAAATGATGTCATTGGCATCGGAGAAAAACCATTGTAGCTTCTGTCTATCTTGGCTAAGCATAATTCATTAATATACTTGAAAACACTGTGTTTCTGAGCAAAAGGTTGAGCTGCATAGTCCTCAAATGGCATCCACTATGGAGAAAGGAGGCAACCATGCAAACAAAAAAATAATCATCAGTTAACAAATGTACTGTGCAACCCAGTTCATTTTTAAAACCAATATGCAGAGAGATAATCATAGTTAGATTGCAGCAAGGGAACTAAAATTAACCACCCTATGCCAAGCGTGGTATGATTACACTTAGTTGCATTAGCTTAACCAGTTTATATTCATTTACCCTGAAATTTGGACTGCCTACCAGCCTGATCCATTAGAAAAAGACTAATACAATTTGATTAAAAACTTATTAATCTAATCTATGTAACTTTTACTTTGTTCTGTTGTCTGCTAATGCTCTGAAAGAACTCAAATAATCATTACGACATTACATTTTAAGAGCAAACAAGAAACGTTATCATGCAAACATATAACCGAGTACCTGGGCTGCCTCAATTTCTAGTTCTTGCTTCTGGATGCCAAAAGAGAGTGGGCGCAACATGCATATAAAGAATAAGTCTGACTTCTCAAAGAATGACTTGTGGGATTGCCTGTCAGTTAAACCAATAAACCTGTAAAGACATGACTAAAACATTGGAATCATGGATCCTAATTTGCAAATTAAATCAGGTTTCACTAGAATCTTGATGTATCCCAACACCACCAAATAGAAGGTACAATATAGGATCTCTTTCAAAAGTCTACATAATGTGTCCAAGTATTAAACTTATTTTGGCATTTTTTTTATTATTATCTAATATACGTCCAAGAGTACGAACATGTTTAGTTCCAAAAGTTTCAAGATTATGCAAAATCAGTACCTGAATGCTAGTATTTCAACAAACTCTGTATCGATCTGAAATAGCAAAAGTCAGCAACCTTAAAATGATAATTAAAAGTTGCAAGAAATATGAGATATTTAAGATTCACATTAGGTATGGATAACACACTTATCACTTACTCCAGTTTCTTCTTTTACTTCTCTTGTTGCTGCAGCAAAGATATCCTCACCCTGTAGATTAAAGAACTCATACATGACTAGCACAAGTATGCCCAGCCTCAGAAACAATCATAAACTTCTGTTTAGGTGCATGCATACCTCATCAAGAACTCCAGTAGGGATCTTCCACACACCTGTTCCTTGGAATTTGCCGCTTTTCTCCTGGACTACAAGCAACTAGAAACGAAGAAAATTCCAGATTTAGATCCAGAAATTCAACGCGAATAGGCAAATAAATTTAGAAGATAATGACAAACTTATCACACATTTGACTCAGATTTGCTAATGTACTGCATTCATGGAGTATATAAAAAAAAAAAAGTACAACATGCCTCATTCAAACCCCCTGGTTTAAATAAAATCCCAGGTATAAGTAGTTAATATGGAAAGTATAAAAGAAGGTATAGAAGAAGTTGGAAAATCAAGCAGAACGAATGAGAATAAGCACTGCTGTAATGCTGTGCATATTGTAGACATCTCTACATATATCTTTCTAGAAAAGGACAATATCAGAACCAGTTTGAAGGCATCACTGAACATTGGCTACTTACAGGAAGATTGACATTCGATCATAATAGTTTCCATCAGATTCGGATTGGCTAATTTCAGGAAGATTGCCATTCAATCATACTTCTAATTGCAGGAAGATTACCTAAGGAATTTGGCAATTGGGAGCGAGGGAAGTTGTGGCCAAGCTTATAAACAGGTGAAAATGCTGGGAGACTTGATTCCACCAGAAAACCAACAAACAGCACTACTCAAAAGTTCATATTAAGCATACTAAACCAGAATCGGCAGCTGTAAATTACCTCTCTCTTGTCATTCAAGACAATAGCACCAACACGTACTCGGTGTGTAGCATTTGCAGGGATGGTATTAGCAGTTTCTGGAATCCAGTAAACAAGCATAAGGTAATGAGGCTCGGCATGGTGGAACCAGAATCCCTCCTGCAAGCAGTATAACAGATCACAAAACAAAAGTCAAAAGCAATACAAAAGATCCCTTGTATTCAATGTACAAAACATGGTATTAAAGCTAATGGCCAAGACTGAAGTTAATTCAAAATTAAATTCTCATTAGTTCTGGGAAACTTTATTTCGTAACCAAGTTATTATCAAAATTATTATTTCCATTTTTTATGGAAAAAATATATTACAGATACGATTACACATACAATAACATGATGCATGTTTGACCTGGTGATCCCAAAATAAGCAGGTTGTTGGACAAGTTAAGGTACTATTCCGTTTTTTAAATCAGCAGTAGTAAGGTACTAGTCCTACCCCAACATTGTCAACAGTTACCATTAGATACCATACATAAAAAAGTTACTAACCTTAACTGCAGTTTCAACAAGATTTGCAAGTTCAATGGGCAATTTTATCCAAACACCCCTTTTGCCCTGCAAATACCTTTGTCAAACTCACACACACAAACAAAAGGAAGACACAATTCTCAGCAGCAAATTGAATCTATATCAGAGCCACATATACAAAACAATCAAGTGGATTTCAGTAAGTAAATGCATCTCTTGAACTAAATCATCAGCCACAAACACACCAAAGCTAGGTCATATGACATGCGCCCAAACAAGATGACAAACTGGCTTCCACTAAGTACAATTGTGCCGATTGTTGCAATAATCATGGATGACGATTGTACTGATCACACGAACTCACCCAAAAGGACTGGCCCAGGAGATATCATTTGTGTTTTTGGGCAATTGTTCTTGCATATTAACCCAGTATATATGCTAACTGTTTTCACTTTATGTTGAATCTTTGTGCGATTCAACTATGGAATCTGACATAACTGAGCCTAGGAAAGAGAAAGCCACATTTGAATGAAAATAATTTTAGCATTATGAACTCACAGCACACAAATTTATCAATTTATGTTTAGCATACTCACATTATGATCTTTTTATGGATCATGTTTTCATTACAGGACTCCTTTAGTTTCATCCAAAAAATTTTAGAGTCATGCATGCAACCAGTTTGCATAAAAAAAGTTTCTTGGTTTCTATTGTAACCGCTAGTGTATGAATTTAATGCTCATATGAGTTAGTCCGAGTTAAAAGATGCCATCCTCATTACTTTTACCTTTGTACAATGGTGGAATTTACCCTGTATTATTCAGACACCATTCTTTACGTGCACATGTATGAAGCCACAGATAAAAAAAAGTATTGTCCAGCAATTCATGGTCAGAATGAAGTGAAACAAATGGCCCAACAAGGTTGCAATTGTAGCATTTGTCATATAAGATCCAGTAAGGCAGCAAGCACCAATTCACCAAAAGAAGATGATTAGAAAAAACCTGTAGCTTCCAATGTGATAATGAAGCTCTAAGCAATGAAAGAAAGACCTTGGAGTCCATCGACTCCTTCATTTCCACTATGACACCTCCATGGTCATCATTAATCGCAGCAAGCAACTCAACCTTTTGAACTCCATTTTCAGCCACCATTTGCTCCATTGGACCTGAAAATAGATCCTTTTTGGATGCGTCCTGGTTCTGTTGTCAAGGGCAGAAAGAAAACAGATGCATTATAAACGACAGACGCAGGATTTGGGTTTTTTTTTTATTTTTTATTTTTGTTGGGGGGGGGGGGGGGGGTT